TCACAGGTTCCTCAACAGTGCATTACAAGACATCTATCTTAACCTAAAGTATTATTTAATGTTCTAATAAAGGTTAATTAGTTTGTCTGTTTTGCACATGCTCCTATTAATATCTTTGTACATCCGGCACTAAACTGTTTTATTCTAGAGATCACTTACAGCAGTGGTTCTCAACTGGTGGGTCGCGACCCAAAAGTGGGTCGCAGAACCGTTTCGAGTGGGTCGCAGATGTGCGAGTGAAGAAAAAATAAATGTAATTATTTTTTTTTTTTTTTTTTTTGGTGGAAAAAAAAAGTCAAACTTTCTTTTTAAGGCCCGATTTTCTAACGCTGTGCATGCAGTAGCCGTTTGACTGAAAGTACCGGAGACCATAAACGGTTTTGAAAACTTCTGTCACGTAGTGATCATCTTCTCAATAAAACATCTTTGCTGATGTTTTTTCGAGTCTCCTGGCCAATCAGAATCAAGATTGTTGCCGGAAGTCCCCACGGAGAATAACTTTGCGGTAAAATAATAAAAATGGACACATAATGAAATATGACCCCCGGTTTGATGATTGACAGGTCACAGAACAATGGGGTCTATCTACCCTACCCACAATTTAAAATAATTCACACAGACTATCTCCTCTTTTCCTCCATACCCAAATCTCTAAAAACGGGGCTGCAACGGAGCTGATACAGATTTGAATTTTTCTGACGTCAGAAAAGGGGTGCTCCGCCTATATGGGCAACTCTCCATCTATCAGGGGAATGAGAGACCGCTCGAAAGCGCTGGAGACGCTGTAGTACATATGCCAGACCTGTAACCCCTAGATTCCACCGGGTCCGTCTGCGGCGCGTTGCGGCCGCGTTACGGCTGCGCCGCGGCGCTCACGGCAATCGCGGCCACTCTAGTCAATGGGTGCTATTCCACCACATGCGGCGCGTTACGGCTCAGAAGCGTCCCAGAAGCGTCCCAGAAGCGTCCCAGAAGCGTCCCAGAAGCGTCTCGGCGCAGGGCTCCTCTAAAATTAGGATGAATCCTATTTTTGACGCGACGCAGCCGTAAGGTAATGTCGGGCAGGCAGGAAGTGGAACGTTCAGAGCATATATATATATATATATATACACACACACAAACTAATTTTGCAGACCCTATCCCTCCGTAGTCTTTCAAGTAGGAGGAGAAATGCCAGCGTTCTCCTCCGGTTTACAGGCACTGTGTAAATTATATATATAGAATAATTATGATGATGAATGCATTTTTTTACCACTAAAATACAGCAACACATCTTTGATTCATGTCGTTTATAACTGGAATATTACAATTATTATTAACTTTGTCTGTACAAAGTAGCCTGTCCAGGAAATATGCCCAAATCAACAAAAACTGCGAGCCGGCAGGCAAGACGCTCCGCTTCTGAAATGCGCCTGGTAGGGTATGACGCCGGAGGAGGCCGGACCAAAACTGCGACGCAGACGGACCCGGTGGAATCTAGGGGTAAGTGGCGCTGTAGTCTGCCACAAAAGCAGCGAAGAAGACTTCCCGCGCATGGTTGCCATGGTTGCCCTTCTGTTTATTCTCCGCTGTGGACGCTCTGGCTCTTTTTCTCCCTCCCCGAGGCAAGCGTTTGCTCCTGCTGCTGTAATTCTCTCCGGTTTGCCACCAGCAGATGACAAACACCCACCTCTCCGCCTCTTCCAAGGGATGAGGGGACCGTGCGGCAGAGTTTCAGTTAGATTTTTTTTCGCCGGTCAACATGTCCGTTAAAGTTTAAATCTTCCGGACAAAATTAGAAAAGTGCTGGTAAAAGGTCTTCTTTGTTATTTATTGAGCTTTAAAACGAATGAATAACGACTCTATATAATAATATAAGAATAATACACGAGGACGGAGCCTCTCTTTTCCTCCCCCTCTTCTGAGAGCCCAGCAGCTGATCTCAGAGCACACTCCCCTCTCCTGCAGGGGGGCATGGTCAGCTGTAGCTCATTTGCATTAAAGCTACGTCACAGAATCAGCCCTTGCAAAAACAGGGCTGGAAAAGAGCAAATAGAGCGAAATGAGGCATGGCTAAAATGCATGATCTGTTTGGTATTTTGAAAAAAAAACGTCACAGACATGTTTTATATAGGTATGGCCCTACAATATATTTTTCAAATATAGCATGATAGGTCCACTTTAAATATTTTCATCAAATATAACACATTCAACAAAACATGCAGCAGACCTTAGGCAAGGCAAGGCAAGTTTATTTATATAGCACCTTTCAACACAAGGCAATTCAAAGTGCTTTACAAAAATGAAAGACATTAAGAAAAAGGCATTTAAAAACAGTCATTAAAAGCAACACAATCTACCTGAATTGCAATTACTCTAAACGTGTAATAACGTGCTTTAACCACTAGATGGTGCGGGTTAAAAAACTGTCACGCTTACAGTGTTAACAAAATACATTATACTGCTGTTTCCGGTTTAGTTTACGACATATTTTGTTATCCACACATACTGTATATTGTTTTGATATTTGTAACACAAAAGCGATGTAAAAAACCCACAGCAACACAGAAAAGATGGTCTTAACATGACCCAGCGGTCTAGTAGTTAATAAAAAATAATATTATCAAAACAAAATATTACTATTAACTTTATTGTGAAATTAAAACAGAACTGTAAAAGAATAGTTTCCGGTCTATTCTGAGGCCCAATCTCTGTAGATAAATAAAGAACTACGACAGATGTGTAATATACTGTATAATGCAGCCGAACCATTTATTACAATGCATTTATGTGATGACTTTCAAAGAGTAAAGTAAGCACTGCTGAATAAAGTATGATTTTATCTTTTACGAAACGTTTTTTTCATATGGTATACAGTTGGAGGTCAACCAATCACAGAGCTTGAGGACTAATCACGGGGTTTGTTGAGCAAAGCTGACTGGCGTCGTCCCAAACGATAGCTGAGGATTATGGGTAGAGTAGTGTCTTCGGCAATCCTAAACTCCGAAAAAATCATTTGTCTCTCAGAATCGAAGGGGAAAAACACAAAAGCATTGTACAGAATTTAAACCAATTAGCAACAACCAACAACCCAACAACCAGGGGCGTTGCCTGGACCTGAAAACATTCGGGGCTTAGCCCACAGTGGCGGTGGCACTACAGTGGCATTTTTTACATACACAGTACACCCGCGACTGTTACAATGAAGGCTCGATAATCAGCTCACGGCATATAGGCAGGGGTAAAGTGGTATTTTTTATGAGTGGTCCGGGGGGATGCTCCCCCGGGAAGATTTTTTTTTAAATATTGAAGTTAAATGCATCAATCTGGTGCACTTTGAGAGCAAAATGAAGAGATCTATGGATACCTCTCTCAACACCCATATGAAGCAGAACTGTAAACAGATGTACTTTTCTTTAAGGATATTTTACTAATCACTCACCTTTTAAACTCTATTCTTGTTTTACTGCCATATAGTATTTCATAACTGTTTTTCCTTTATTCTCTTTTTTTTATAACTATAATGATCATATGAAGGTGTGCCGCGGAAATAATCTTTTGAATAATTTGTGACCAAACCGTTTGAGACCCACTGAGATAACTTAGACTAAAGTTATGTATCTAAACACTCAGAGAGTCCTTTAGCTCACCTGAGTCTCTCAGTCTGTGAGGAGAGGACTCTCCTCCAGCTTCTTGTGGAACAAACAGCTCCTTATGTCCGTTAGTGCAGCTAGCTAACCAGATGCTAACAACACGGTCCATGCTGACAGTCACCGGTCCCTCCCTCCCCCTCTCTCCCTCTCTCTCTCTCTATCACACTATTGCCACACACACACACAGAGCCGAGCTTGAATGACACAAGCACACGTTTATTTCCATGCAACTCTCTGATTGGTCTGGTGTCATGCCTCTGTTGCATTCACCGAACACGGGAAATTACAGTGCTGCCGTCCTCTCTTGTGTCATGATGAGGTTCACGTAAAGCACGGTTAATGTATTATATTATTGAGGGAGAATTGTCCGGGGCTACAGAAAAAACATTCGGGGCTAAAGCCCCGGATGCCCAGGCCAGGCGACGCCACTGCCAACAACTAACCCTAACAACAACAATACAATAAATGGATTTGTATTATTGCCGCATCTGATACCAAGCCTACCGATTAATAATTAAAACAACAACATCTGGTTAAATAAAGGCTACAAACAAACAAACAAACGATATCGTATCAACACAGAATAGCGCGTCAGTCAAGTAATTCCCGGAAGATAAAAGACCAAATAGAATCTTTAGTATTAAGCTCCTATATCTTAAAACACACTTTTATGCATTAGATTCCATTGAACATTTTCTGTTTTTAAGCGTCTGTGCTTTTGTGTCTATTGTGTGCACTTTGAAAAGTCATACAGATGCAGTTTATATGAACTCAGGTGACAGCCCAAAATGGCAACTTATTGGAGATCTCCACTCTCAGAGGGGTGGATCCTGAATAATATGTTTAAGGTCATTTAAGGAATGATTCAAAGGCCACATCCAAAACCTGCTTACAAAACCCTGCTTACAAAACCCTGCTTACAAAACCCTGCCTCCCTCCCTCTCTCCCTCTCTCCCTCCCTCCTTCCCCTCCTCAGCAGAAGCTGCTGAGCTGCAACACTTGAGAGAAACACTTGAGAGAAACTCTTTAGATCCGGCTGCTTGTGTGGGGGGGAAAGAAGCAAAGAGTTTCTTTCTTTATTTAAAACATTTTGATTTATTTTTAACAATGAAGGAACTTTCCTCTGATGCCTTGCTGCTGTCTTTTACACATTTATGTTTCCTTAGTAGTTTTCTGGACGGGGCTCGCGCTCAGGAGGCTGCAGGTGATGATAATGCGCTCCGGCGGGGGTTGACATGGCAACATAACGGCCAGGTTTTCAGCATCCTGAGCGGCGGCTCTCAGTACCGGCCGTCCGGCAGGAGGCACACCGGGTCCCCCCGGCGCAGTGACCCTGTAGTCGTCCTCAGCAGCGCTAACGACACCGCCTCCGGGGGCTCCCCACGTGTACCCGCCGCGGCCGGGGGCTCCCCGCGCGTCCCAGTCACCAGCGACACTGCGCAGGTCCGCGCGATGATGCGCCAGCACCCGCGGCCTCAGCAGCAGGCGACTGGCAGCGACGGAGACTCTGCCCCAGTCCGACGGGAGGACATGATGGTCGGAGATGATCCATACAACCCCTACAAGAATTCTAACTATTACGCCAACTACAACTACTACAACTCCTACTACAGACCCAGAGCCAGGGCTCAACCCCGGCGCGGGTACGGAACCAGCTACCATCAGAATGGTAAGGGTCAAACGTTTTGTGACCAAAAAATACATAATAATACACAGATAATAATACACACACAAAAAAAACGTTTAATTTATTAAAATTTTTGAATTTGTACATGAAGTTTATAGAAATATCCTGAAAGGATGGTATTTTCTCTAATGGTTATCGGTGGTGTAAAGTAATTGAGTAGATTTACTCAAGTACTGTAGGCTACTTAAGTACAATTTTGAGATAGCTACTTCTACTTTACTTGAGTATTTTAACTTTTTGCTACTTTGTCTTTCTACAAATCAGAGGTATAGCCTAATGTACGTTTATACTCCACTACATTCATTTAATACCTTTAGTTACTTTACAAATTTGGATTAATGATGTGAAATATAATCAACATAAGACTTGAATTACCTGGAGTAAATTCACAATCTACCCTGCAGTATACAAAGTAACGTAAATGATTATGAAATGGAACAATTTGCATATTGAGTACTATACATTAAGGACATTTAGCTGAAAAGACTATTGTAATTTTCCTTGAGTAACATTTTGAATGCAGGACATTTACTTGTAACAGAGTATTCCTACTTCTACTTTTACTCAAGTACAATATCTGGGTACCTCTCCCACCTGCTGGTTATCTAGGAGACTGAAGAGCCTATATTTTTATTTAACATGTGTTTAGTTTATAGTTTATCCTCCATTAAAGCTCATAAAATGCCCGTTTTATAGGATTTTTATGACTTCAGCTTAACCCCTCAAATAAAATCATGCAGATGTGTACGTTTTTACGTCTGTCATTACATTCAGGATATCTTTTAATGTGTTTTGATGATTGGTCTATGTATTTGGAAAACTCTTGCGATTTAAGCAGTGTCATTTTGTGATGCGTCTTTTGCTCCCACACTGTAAAAAAACTTCTTTTTTTTTACAGTGCACTGTAATCTGCTTCAGGACTTCACGTCCTTGGTCTCATAGTGAGAACTGAGCTGAGGTAAAACCGGGATCCACGTCCCTTAGCATGTGATGTCATTTCCTAACACAGTCGAATAGTAAAAATACATCAAGTCCTATATCTTTTCCTGACAATTTTTCCTTAACTTCCATGAAAGATGTCATGGGGCTAAGGAAGATAAGACGGAGAATTAATCAGGAGACCACCGTTCTAAGATAATCGACTGCACTGCAACGTTATTACGATGACTTTACTACAATTTTGCGTAGACAGACTACTTATAAGGCCCCTAGATGCTTCGCCCCGTTGGATCTGAAGACAAACACCCAGTCACCTGATTACCAATGTTGTAAATAAAAGTGAGAGGAAATAGTTGCTTGTGTCCACTTCTATAAACAAAAGGAATCCAACACTTTATGGAATATGTTCTCTTAAATAGTTTAAGAAACGTGTTACATCTCAGTAAACAACACATCCTCACTCCCAGGTCGGCGTATGTTGACGTTATGTCAAGGTCCCCTGTGGTCTTTTTCCAACGCAAGGGGGCGGCCCTTAGCGTACATTTTCAACTTTCCGGGATGTCCATAGGCTCGTCTTGAGATCGCGAGCGAATGCTTCCCTCCGCGGGCCATTCTCTGCTGAAGCATACGTTGCGAGACTGCATTGCATCAAAAACATTATGCTCTCTATATATTGTCTTTATTATGCTTTAAACAGTGTCTCGGGCTTTGGCTATAGGGCGGCTCAAAGTATTTTGTCCGGCCGTTGTGAAGACTGCTTTGTTTATTGTCCTTGTTTTTGTTTTAAATAAAGCATATTCAATCGAGACATGCCAAACATGTGACGTCATATGACGCGTCGCATCTGCGCACAGGGAGTAGGGAGACCCCGAGATCCGTATTCCCCGTATTTTTAAAATAAAGAGATTTTCAATCACGGGCGCGCATCAAACGTGTGACGTAATGTGGTATTAAAAGTATTAAAAGAGGTGAAAATCACTACAAGTCTGGGCATGTTGAGAGTTGTACATACACACAAGGGAAGTCAGTCGGTTCCGTAAGAGCCAGCATGCGGGATTCTGGGATTTGTAGTCTTTCTAGTTGCGTATTTTTCATAGTCTTATATTTCAACAGTTTTACGACAAACTGTGACTTTTTTGACACGGAAATTATTATTTAAGATTGACAAACATCATATGTGTAATTCGTGGCACAATTCAAACGGGATCGAAAGATAATCTTTCTCTCTCCATTGACTTCAATGCATACGTTTTCCGAAATGAGGGGTGTTTCTCAATCGTGAGTACGCTTGCTTGGTAGCACATGTCTGCCGAGCATCTTGCTTCAGAAGCGAGTCAAGAATACTTCCTGCCATTCGGAAAACAAAGAGTGGAACAGGCTAGCAAGTGTGCAGGTGTGCGTCATATGAGAGGCCCCGCCTTACATCTTCCGCCACAGATTTGGGGAAATTGGTCCGTGCGCAAAGCATTGTGGGGATTTTAAGGCCGCGAAGTCTACTCATGTGCACACTCGATATTTCTCCAAACGGAGTACGCCGGGCTCGGTAGATTTCCAAGTATACTGGAGATTGGAACAGTACTTCGGCGGCACTCGATGACATAGTATGCTTGAAATAGTGGCTCGGAAGCAGCTTTACTCGCGATTGAGAAACACCCAAGGTCCCATGGAGGAACCCGGAAGTTTGACGGACATTACCCACAATCCTCTGTTGCAACAGGCAACAGCTTCGGTTCATGTTCATTTACAAACTCTTCAACTACATTTAAAAACATGTTAGAAGGCCTCACGAAATACTTTAATGTAAATTAAAATGTAAATGTGAAGGAATGTGTGTATAACAAAATACATAAACGAAAACGAAACCGGAAACAGACGTAGGCAAGATCCTCAGCTCGATGATTGGATGGTTTAGCCGCAATGCACGCTGGGATTTGGTGTTTATGCGATGTGAAATCCGAACACATTTTAAAATAGAATAATACTTTATTCCGAGTGTGCTTGCTTTTCTCTTTGAAAGTCATCACATAATGGCATTGTAATACACAGTTCGGCTGCATTAAATATTACATATCTGCCGTAGTTCACTATTTATAGAGCCCTGCTGAGAAGACTTCTAGAGAAACAGGAAGAACTGCCGCCAAAACTGAAAACTTGACTAAATATATCAGCAATTAAATAACATCTTACATTTCTTTTCACACAATACGTCTCCTTGCAGTATCAACACTAATTCGGCTGACTTTTATATTTGATCCAATTGGTAGATAGGCTGTATTTACACCATAACGGTGCACAGCTGATAGAAAGGGACACCTACTGGTTAAAGCACGTTATTGCATTTTATAATTGTATTATTAGATATTAATAGGAGGATGTGCAAAACAGACCAACTAATAAGGCTTTATTTAAACATTAAAGAATACTTTAGGTTAAAGGTAGGGTAAGTTTGAGAAACCGGCTCGAGATACACTTTTTGTTATATTCCATGGAATGCTCTTAACATCCCGATAGCAATGAATATCTTAAGTGCTTTGACAAAAAATCCATAAATGTCATCTGTGGAAGCCGTAATACTGTAAAAAGCACGACCAATCATTTTAGCCGGCCCGGCTAAAATAACTGGATGGCCTACCTGCCTGTCAGCCTTCCATCAGTGCACAAACTTATCTCGTGCCCTCATTGGTCATGTGCGCGTTCGTGTGTGTTGGAGGAGGGGCTCTATAAGGAAGTGGCAGATTTTCTCTGGTTGTGTATTTTCAAATTCTAGCGATATCGAGCCGGTTTCTCAAACTTACCTACCCTACCTTTAAGGTCTTCTTTTGAATAAGAAAAAAGCTTTGGGGGTAGAGAAGATGAATATGGAGGGATGAAACCCTCTTTGATGGTCACACATGCAGAGCACACAGCACACACAGTGAAATTTGTATCTACAGATAAATATTAAGCCTGACAAAGTACTTAACGTCTATATTATTGCTTTCCTGCAATGTTAACTATGTTTAAGCACTTATTTTAACTGATATTATACATATGTATTATACTCTTATAAGATGTATGTAGATAGTATAAGAAATGTGCAGAATATGACAATGTAATGGTGGAGGTACACACATATTGATAGATGTCTTGTAATGCACTGTTTAGGAACCTGCGACCCAAGTTTTTCATTCATTGCATAACTACACCGTAGTTGTGTATAATATGATATGTCAATAAACCTTAGAAAATCTTGAAATCTTGAAAGGGATGTGCAAAATAGTCATTATATACAGTCTTTAATTAACTATTAGTAGAGAATAACGACGAGTAAAGAATATACTTTATAGGGATCCTATTAATATCTAATAATACAATTATAAAATGCAATAACGTGATTTAACCAGTAGGTGTCCCTTTCTATCAGCTGTGCACCGTTATGGCGTAAATACAGCCTATCTACCAATTGGATCAAATATAAAAGTCAGCCGAATTAGTGTTGATACTGCAAGGAGACGTATTGTGTGAAAAGAAATGTAAGATGTTGTTTAATTGCTTATATATTTAAGATCCACGTCAAGTTTTCAGTTTTGGCGGCAGTTCCTGTTAGTGTTCTCATCAGGGCTCTATAAATAGAGTTAACTACGGCAGATATGTAATATTTAATGCAGCCGAAACGTGTATTACAATGCCGTTATGTGATGACTTTCAAAGAGAAAAGCAAGCACACTCGGAATAAAGTATTATTCTATTTTTAAAAAATGTGTTCGGATTTCACATCGCATAAACACCAAATCCCAGCGTGCATTGCGGCTAAACCATCCAATCATCGAGCTGAGGATCTTGCCTACGTCTGTTTCCGGTTTCGTTTTCGTTTATGTATTTTGTTATACACACATTCCTTCACATTTAAATTTTAATTTACATTAAAGTATTTCGTGAGGCCTTCTAACATGTTTTTAAATATAACTACGGTTGTAGTTGAAGAGTTTGTAAATTAACATGAACCGAAGCTGTTGCCTGTTGCAACAGAGGATTGTGGGTAATGTCCGTCAAACTTCCGGGTTCCTCCATGGGACCTTGGCTGCAGTCGAATAGTCCATTTAGCTTAGGAACCTTCCTAACCGAGTGAAATGACCCGGAAGTCCCTCAGTGGCAGCCATGATAAGTGCCGTTCGAATTCTCTAGATGATAGGAAAGGAGGTTTCAAACTTCCTTTATAACCTCCTTTAGCTTAGGAACCACTGGACCTCCCTTGCCGAAAGGAGAGGAGAAAATGCTGCCCCACAATGCCTTGCAGCCGCAGCATTTGCCGTCACACAACAGTCGGCCGTTCACGGAAACAACCGATTATGACCGAGAAATGATATCATGAAAGTTACGGTGCTTATTAAGCTTTTTAAAACGTATGTGGTAACTTGCCAAAGTGCTTTGTTTTGAACTTTCATCAGTATTATAATCAAAAAGAGAAATATGAACGTTAGTTTTTACTGAAATGATCAAATAAAGTCAACATGTCACAGTCTTTACTGAGCTGTGTGGGGGTTGTTCAACTTTTAAAAGATGTTTGAATGGTGATATACACAGTGATAGATGTTAAGGACTAACGTTTATAATAAATACATTTGTATTGATTTTAAGATCTTTTCATACAATCATACGTATTGGGATCATTTGTATTAATGTGGACCGGAGGGAGAGGCTGACGAGCATAAGTTTCCCTTTTTATTTCAATTCCAACTTTGGTCATGAAGAATATGTTTCTCTGTTGTCCCCGTTCATAAAGCATAAAGCAACAGCATCAGAGCACGGTGCAGAGTCTCTAGATGAGTTTACAGTAGTCCCTCGTTCTTATTATACATCCATGTTGTAGTCCACTGTATAGAAAACTGTAGTTTCCATAGTTTTCCCACAGCAGCAGACGCACATTTATGACGTCTGCTGGCGCATCATAAACACGTCGGATAGTGAAAGTGCAGTCGGATTCTCTAAAGTACCGCAGTCTCTTCTCCTAAATCCTTTTGAATTCTCCTATCCACTATCCCTTAACCCCGTGACGTTTCACTCAGAGGTCAAGGGATAGACGATAGGGTTAGAACTTAGGAGCTGATTTTTGGACTATTCGACTGCAGCCCTTATTTCGGAAAACGTATGCATTGAAGTCAATGGAGAGAGAAAGATTATCTTTCGATCCCGTTTGAATTGTGCCACGAATTACACATATGATGTTTGTCAATCTTAAATAATAATTTCCATGTCAAAAAAGTCACAGTTTGTCGTAAAACTGTTGAAATATAAGACTATGAAAAATACGCAACTAGAAAGACTACAAATCCCAGAATCCCGCATGCTGGCTCTTACGGAACCGACTGACTTCCCTTGTGTGTATGTACAGCTCTCAACATGCCCAGACTTGTAGTGATTTTCACCTCTTTTAATACTTTTAATACCACATTACGTCACACGTTTGATGCGCGCCCGTGATTGAAAATCTCTTTATTTAAAGAATACGGGGAATACGGATCTCGGGGTCTCCCTGCTCCCTGTGCGCAGATGCGACGCGTCATATGACGTCACATGTTTGGCATGTCTCGATTGAATATGCTTTATTTAAAACAAAAACAAGGACAATAAACAAAGCAGTCTTCACAACGGCCGGACAAAATACTTTGAGCCGCCCTATAGCCAAAGCCCGAGACACTGTTTAAAGCATAATAAAGACAATATATAGAGAGCATAATGTTTTTAATGCAATGCAGTCTCGCAACGTATGCTTCAGCAGAGAATGGCCCGCGGCGGGAAGCATTCGCTCGCGATCTCAAGACGAGCCTATGGACATCCCGGAAAGTTGAAAATGTACGCTAAGGGCCGCCCCCCTTGCGTTGGAAAAAGACCACAGGGGACCTTGACATAACGTCAACATACGCCGACCTGGGAGTGAGGATGTGTTGCAGTAAACCGCCTCAGATGTTTATTGATCATTTTACAGTAATTTTTGTTTGGTTGAAGGTTCAAAACATATAAGCACTGTAGGAAATGACGGCCATAGGTGAAACATGCTAAATGAGATCCCTAGCTTACATAATCATCATTTATCGGTTGTTTCTATTAACGGCTGAATGGTGTAAATGTTGCAGCCACGGGGAATTCTGGGAGAATAATAACTCCTGACCTACCTATAGGGTTTGACTCATGGCCTTATTATCACTTTAAATGGATGTAACAGCAGCAACTGAAGATCAATTGTCAGCAGTGAGGGAGGATGTAATGAGATGCTTCATTTCAGTAGAACTATAATTTAACACTGTGAAAATTCTCTGGTACAAGTAAAAGTCCTGCAGTCCATATCAACTCAATGTACTTTAGGAATCGACGTAAACTATGATGTTTTTGTTTTTCAACAGCATTAGTGTTCATCATCATCGTATATTTGTAGCTTTGTTGCTGTCATTTGAGTTTCTCTAAAAAGTTAACCATTTAGCCGTGTTTTTTGCAAGATTGCATTATGGAACACTTGGTCCTTCAGTTTATCACAAACATTTAAAAAAAAAACATCTGGGGATAGATGAGTTCCACTGGACGGGAACATGATAGAAAACTGAAATCCTAAAATGAAATAAAGATGTCAGATATAGGAAGTGCAGTAAGTACAACATTTACCCCTGAGATGTAGTGGAGTAGAACCGTATACTCTAAAGTACCTCAAATCTGAATTAAATACTTGATCAAATGTGCTTTGTTGCATTCCTCTACTGCTTGGCGAAAACATTTTTGTGACTTTATGTCTTCTCATTAAAAAAAACATTATGTTTGAAATCAACCCATTACATTTAATTTACCTTCATCAAAAGCGACTAACAAAGCAGCTCTGGCGATTCTTACGGGAGTATTTTGCGGTTCAATATCTTAGAGACGGATTCTCTACATGCCATAAACGCTTTCCTTAGGACTGTTTTCATCAGAGATCAGAGCTCCTGTAATCTTATTGTGTCCTGTGTTGCTTTCCGTAGGTCTCCCTGATCTGGTTCCTGACCCGAACTACATCCAGATCGGCACCTACATCCAAAGAATGCCGATGTACAACCTCCGCTGCGCTGCAGAGGAGAACTGCCTCGCCTCGTAAGATAACACACGCCCGGTCTGTATGACTGCCCAAATCTCACCAAGGCAAATAGAACAATAGAATAAATAGTTTGCAGTGAAAGTGAAAGGCTGTTCAAATCAGTTATCAGACTGATGTGAAACACACTGGTGCCCTGCAGACTTTTATTATATGCTTTAAGACTATAGAGGCGGGTACGTTATAAAGTTGGCCAATTTTCTGGGGAGATTTAAACATGTTGTGACATAATAAAAGTAAAACCCAGTGCGCTTCTTTCCCTTCTGGTATCCTAAAAGCTCAAATGTTTCCCAAGCACAGAGGACTGATTCTTAATCATCTTCATGTTTGAACGTTTCCTTTATTTAAAGGGGACCTATCATGCAAAATGCACTTTTGTACGTCTTTTACACATGAATATGTGTCCCCGGTGTTCCAGGGAACTCACCAAGTGTCAGAAAACACAACCCTCTCTATTTTCCTCCATACCCAAATCTCTAAAAAAGGGGCTGCAACGGATCTGATAAAAACTGATCCAGATTTGAACACTGTCCTGACGTCAGGACGGTGGCGCTATGGCTATTGGGCCAACTCTCCACCTATCAGGGGAATGTGGGGTTGGGCCACGGCCGGCCATTGCCGCTCGAAAGCGCTGGAGACGCTGTAGTACATATGCCAGGCCTGTAAGTGGCGCTGCGCTTTGTCTGCCACAAAAGCAGCGAAGAAGACTTCCCGTGCATGGTTGCCATGGTTCCCCTTCTGTTTGTTCTCCGCTGTGGCTTTTTTTCCCCCCGCCCCGAGGCAAGCGTTTGCTCCTGCTGCTGTAATTCAATGCAATCCCTCCCCGTCGAGGCAAGCACTGTAATTCTCTCCGGTTAGTCCACCAGCAGATGACAAACACCCACCTCTCCGCCTCTTCCAAGGAACGAGGGGACCGTGCGGCAGAGTTTCAATTAGGTTTTCTTTCGCCGGTCAAGATGTCCGTTAAAGTTTAAATCTTCTGAAAAAAAATTGAAAAGTGCCGGTCAAAGGTCTTCTTTGTTATTTATTGAGCTTTAAAACAAATGAATAACGACTCTATATAATAAAACACGGAGGACGGAGATCTATTTTTCTCCCCCTCTTCTGACTTGATCAGAGCACGCTCGGAGCGCTCCCCTCTCCTGCAGGGGGGCGTGGTCAGCTGCAGCTCACAGAATCAGCCCCGTAGACAGCAAACAGCAAATAGAGCGAAATGAGGCATGGCTAAAATGCATGATCTGTTTGGTATTTTGAAAGCAGAAACGTATAAATATACCTTATATAGGTATGGCCCTACAATATATCATTTAAATATAGCATGATAGGTCCACTTTAACTTGTAACACCTGGTTACATTTAATTCCCAATTGATTTAAACCTGGTTCCATGTTATAAGAGTAAATATTCATGTGTCCTCTCCTTGTCGTCTCTCCCTTCTCTCCTTTCCTCATTCATCTTCTATTTCAATTCCTCGTCTCCTCTATATCCCCTCCTCTTTCCTCTCTCCTCTCCTCCTCCAGCTCTTCCAGTTCTGCCAGTGATTATGACACCAGGGTTCTGTTGAGGTTTCCTCAGAGGGTGAAGAACCAGGGAACAGCTGACTTTCTGCCCAGTAAACCCCGATATTCCTGGGAGTGGCACAGCTGTCATAAGTAGGTGTTGGTGTTAGCAGCTTGATATGAGAATGAATGAACTGGTATATAAACTTTTGGTCCTTCATGTATTGTTGTTAGTCACTTCCACAGCATGGATGAGTTCAGTCTGTACGAGCTGCTGGACGCTCAGACTCAGAGTCAGGTAGCTGAGGGCCACAAGGCCAGCTTCTGTCTGGAGGACACGTCCTGTGACCCGGGGTACTACCGCCGCTTCGCCTGCACCTCACACACCCAGGTACCCCCCCCCCACACACACACACACACGCACACACACACACACACACACACACACACACACACACACACACACACACACACACACACACACACACACACACACACACACACACACACACACACACACACACACACACACACACACACAGGTAGGTACACCCACACCCACACACATCGTCACAGCGGCTCTCTGTGACAGCGGCTTTTTCAATGCTTTAGATTTGTCCGAAAATTGTCAACTTCAGGCCAATAATTCAAAAAACATGTTATAATACAGTTAAAAAAAACTCAGATTTATCTTACCAGTTTGTCATGTATTTCTTTAATACAACACCACATATATATTATCTCCCCCTAAAATACAAGTATATACTAGTATTTGAACTAGGAATTAATCATGATTAATCATAGAATATTATATATTTTTTGTAATCGATTGACGCCATTAATTGTAACGTGCTTGTATATCTCTATGTGTGTGTGTTTTAAGGGTTTGAGTCCAGGTTGTTATGACACCTACAACGCTGACATTGACTGTCAGTGGATCGACATCACTGACGTCTCTCCTGGAAAATACATCCTTAAGGTCTGTGATTCTACTGACAGTGTATTGGGGGGCATTGTCTTTAAATTATTTTATATTCTCCTTGTGTTTTTCTTGAAATACTCACAAGTGCACAATGGATTCCAGTATGGTATGGATAAATGTGCATCGGAACATAGTCTTAAACTAATGCAGTATTTTTCAAAGTTTAATAGAAATACAGTGACCAGCTGTTTGAAGAAATGACTTTGTCTTTTATATATTGAATAATATATTTGTGAGGTGTTTATAAATATAACTGTCCTCAGTATGACCAATATGCATGGAGCTGAGTGCCACAAACAGGAAGTCCTTAGGTAGTGAGGGACTAACACATTGACGTTTTGTGTGATTTGATAATATTAAGAAAAACATTTAATACCACCAACTTATCCATTAAACTTCAGAGGGTGCCCTCTTGACTGATGTTGTGTTGTGCTGGCAGGTGACAGTGAACCCCCGGCAGCAGGTCCCAGAGTCCAACTTCAACAACAACGTAGCCCGCTGTGAGGTCCAGTACACCGGCACCGCCGCTCACGTGTCCGGGTGCACCGTGACATCGTAAGACACACCTTCTTCTTCTTCACAGTTCTAGCTGGTTGATAACAACATTTATTTTCTTCACATGTCGGATCATTTAACTGATAACTCTTTATATTGAGTAGATTCTTGGACAATATTCCTGAATTTAACATTTTCACTCTATAGCATTCTTTAGGGTTATTTTACCTTTTCAATCTGTGATTGAGACACCTACAGCATTCACCTTATGTAACCCCGGCCCTTTTCCTACGTCCTGTTCAAACTATCAACTACACTGTGCCTATGAAATGATTGTACAGTACCACATCCATCCTCTGTTGGTTACTGACAGGATGACATATCACATTCACAAGGGCCCAAAATCTTGTATGAGAGCATTTTTTTAATAATTCTGTAGTGTCTTTTGGTGTAGATGGCCCCTGCTACCAAAACGTAGTCGGTCAGACTGCGTACTAAAGCTCATGTCGACAACTTAAAATAACTCTCACTGTCAGAGGGTAGAAAAAGGTCCATAGTGTTAACATTTATAAAAACAAGTTAACATAGACCAAAGTCAATAACCTGTTAGTGTGCTTTTTGGCAAGCAAACGTTAGCTATTTAGCTAGCGAATGTTCTCTATCTATCTATCTATCTATCTATCTGACAGACAGACAGACATCTGTCTGTCTGTCTGTCTGTCTGTCTGTCTGTCTGTCTGTCTGTCTGTCTGTCCGTCCGTCCGTAAATCAAGCTAGCTAACATTTGCTATTTATATACCTGATAAGCGAGCTTAGCTACCCGTCTAACAAGCTAGCTGGCAATATTGCTATCTAGCTAGCTACAAACCGGTGTCTACTGTTCAGTCATTGAGGGTAAATAATAAACACTTTATTGACAGACTGGGCACCCTCATACAGCCAGCATCACAGCTCCAAATATCGCTAAATATTTTTTGGGCGAAAAGATTTATAGAGCTGGCAATGCAATGCAAAGTAAAAGCAATTACGCTTCAACCAAAAGTGCCAACACATAATACGGCAATGTTGAAGCGCCAGAGATGTACCCCCCCATAGCCCTTGTCTATGATAGATCCCACTGATGGTGCTCTCTTAAATATGACTGAAAAGACAAAACAGGGTAACATTCCAACCTTCTTCATTGTGGTACTAATAAAGGATATTCTTACTTTAGGATCTGAAGATGAACACTTTTTATCAGTGGTTGATTTTTATTCTTTTGTTTCTTGCAGCTCCTGAGATCAAATCTGCAACATGAGCTTGCAAACCAAAACAAACGGAGAAAAAAGGGAATGCCAAAGAAGAATGAAGCTTCAAGTTAACTTGTGATGTAAATAATTAAATTGTGATCAGATAAATGTAAAACTGATTGTTAGAACTGTCGTTAAACAACTACAGCAGGTTACCCGAGTCAACATTAAGCCTTTAGATCAGAATGAAAATGAACTGATAGGTATGAATTCATGTTGAATGTGCAAAGAATGTCAATCCTGGTGCATTCAACTATATCCGCACTAGATTCATTTGTTACTCTGTATTTAGTTTAAAGGGTTCTGGGTTGCCACTTGTGAATACATCACTTAGTTATCTTTAACATCTTAACACCAAGACTTTTTTTTTTCAATTGTTATCAATTACAAATCTTTGCAGCAATAATAATGTTATTATTAAACCTCTTTTCAAAACCAATTCATGCGAACTATATACCTGTAACAGCCTTACAAAAATAAAAGTTTTAAGGGCCAAAGCATATCAAAAGGAACTGCTTATCCATGTGTTAGGAATATCTTTGCTTTATTAATTTTTGTATACATGGTGTGTAATTCAGAGTTAGTAGCTTTTATGAATTGGGAAATCTTGTGCCACCTTACAGGAAAAGTTAGTTGCATCATCTGCGTAACATTTACTAATTTGACTGTAGTATTTTCGAGTAAAACACAGTATTTTGATCAAGTGTCAGGTCATAATATTATTATATTACCTCTATAAAAGGTCACACTAACATTCAATTTATTTGTTAAGAAATCAGGACACAACAACAACTGACAACTAATTGTGTAACTATAGGTTCATGACTTATTTAGATATTTTGATAAGAACATATAATCAGGGGTGTTTTAATGTACATCTAAAAAAATGCTTGCTCACAAACAGGTGTTGACTCTGGATCCTGCTACTCTAGTTTGTCTATAGGGAGCTGTCCAACTTTCCAATGGTTCCTTACATTTTGCTTTGAAGATGGATTTCATGTTTTCTCTATCCACTAGAAAAACCAACCCGGTATCACGGCAAGACGTGAACATGTGACGATCTACCATGCTGGGAGACGTGAATATGTCACGGTTTCGTCCCTTCAAACGTGACAGTTACACGGTATTGTTAACATGGCCCAACCAGTGGAGAAATACCCGGAAGTGCCAATCAAATGCTCTACCAAGACTATTGGTCGGTTTTTATTGTCAAAATTAGATGTTTTTAATTTATTTTTTAATCGTCACACTCGATTTCGCCGATTTTCTTGTGGCCCTAGCTGGTCGATACCTCTTTTAGCAGAAACAAAGGCTACATTAATGTATTAAATCGATGTTAATCCATGTGTGTGGATCATAGACTGTATATATAAAGGTGTGGATGTGGAATTAACGGACGTGACGTTGTGCGATTGCGTTGCCAGGCAACAGCTTCGGTTCATGTTAATTTACAAACTCTTCAACTAGAACCGTCGTTATATTTAAAAACATTTTAGAAGGCCTCATGAAATACTTTAATGTAAATTTAAATTTAAATGTGAAGGAATGTGTGTATAACAAAATACAAACGTCATAAAAAATACCGGAAACAGACGTAGGCAAGGTCCTCAGCTCGGTGATTCGATGGTTTAGCCGCAATGCACGTTGGGAAATGGTGTTTATGCGATGTGAAATCTGAAAACATTTTTTAAAAATAAAATAATACTTTATTCCGAGTGTGCTTGCTTTTCTCTTTGAAAGTCATCACATAACGGCATTGTAATACACGGTTCGGCTGCATTAAATATTACATATCTGCTGTAGTTCTGTATTTATAGAGCCCTGATGAGAAGACTTCTGGACAAACTGCCGCATAAAACTGAAAACGTGACGTGGATCATAAATATATCAGCAATTAAACAACATCTTACATTTCTTTTCACACAATACGTCTCCTTGCAGTATCAATACTAATTCGGCTGACTTTTATATTTGATCCAATTGGTAGATAGGTTATATTTACACCATAACGGTGCACAGCTGATATAAAAGGACTTGTAGTTTTTAAAGATATTACTGATTTTCTTTGAATATAAGAATGTAAATACTGAGTTGAGAGAATAGTCAGGGGATTTGGGTGATGGGAGACACATCTATGGATTCAGAATTTCAATAGCTTACTGTTAAATGACGGATATACCTTTCTGTCTGTGATGTTTTACAAATCAGATATTAGAAGTAAAACATGTGAAATAATATAGCAATATCCTGTACAATTATGTGAAAACATGAATAAAACTACACATCTTCAGATGTTATACATACACAAGTGTCCTACACTAATAATACAAAGTTATTATGGCTGTGTGTACCTTGTGTGCACCGCCTAGTGGTTAAAGCACGTTATTGAATTAGTTGTGTATATGATATGTCAATGAACCTTATAAAATCTTGAAATCTTGAAAGGGATATGCAAAATAGCCATTATATACAGTCTTTAATTAACTATTAGTAGAGAATAACGAGTAATGAATATACTTTATAGGGATCTGCAGATAAATGTTTAGTCTTGTCAAGCAGCAACTATCAAATATCTCTCCTGATTGTTGGCACTTGACAATCAGCTTTCCCTGAATTTTACTCAGGTGTAACTAAAGCCTTCTAGACTTCTATTATCTGATTTGTAAAACATCACAGACAGAAAGGTATATCCGTCATTTAACAGTAAGCTATTGAAATTCTGAATCCATAGATGTGTCTCCCATCACCCAAATCCCCTGACTATTCTCTCAACTCAGTATTTACATTCTTATATTCAAAGAAAATCAGTAATATCTTTAAAAACTACAAGTCCTCTTATATCAGCTGTGCACCGTTATGGTGTAAATATAACCTATCTACCAATTGGATCAAATATAAAAGTCAGCCAAATTAGTATTGATACTGCAAGGAGACGTATTGTGTGAAAAGAAATGTAAGATGTTGTTTAATTGCTGATATATTTATGATCCACGTCACGTTTTCAGTTTTGGCGGCAGTGCTTCCTGTTTGTCCAGAAGTCTTCTCATCAGGGCTCTATAAATACAGAACTACGGCATATATGTAATATTTAATGCAGCCGAACCGTGTATTACAATGCCGTTATGTGATGACTTTCAAAGAGAAAAGCAAGCACACTCGGAATAAAGTATTATTTTATTTTTAAAAAATGTTTTCAGATTTCACATCGCATAAACACCATTTCCCAACGTGCATTGCGGCTAAACCATCGAATCACCGAGCTGAGGACCTTGCCTACGTCTGTTTCCGGTATTTTTTATGACGTTTGTATTTTGTTATACACACATTCCTTCACATTTACATTTAAATTTACATTAAAGTATTTCGTGAGGCCTTCTAAAATGTTTTTAAATATAACTACGGTTCTAGTTGAAGAGTTTGTAAATTAACATGAACCGAAGCTGTTGCCTGGCAACGCAATCGCACAACGTCACGTCCGTTAATTCCACATCCACACCTTTACATATACAGTCTATCATCCACACACATGGATTAACATGGATTTAATACATGAATGTAGCCATTGTTTCTGCTAAAAGAGGTGTCGACCAGCTAGGGCCACAAGAAAATTGTTGAAATCGAGTGTGACTATTAAAAAATAAATTAAAAACATCTAATTTTGACAATAAAAACCGACCAATAGTCTTGGTAGAGCATTTGATTGGCACTTCCGGGTATTTCTCCACTGGTTGGGCCATGTTAACAATACTGTGTAACTGTCACGTTTGAAGGGACGAAACCGTGACATATTCACGTCTCCCAGCATGGTAGATTGTCACATGTTCACGTCTTGCCGTGATACCGGGTTGAGAAAAACATGATAAAACATATGGTTAGAGAGTGCAGGGTAAAAATCTATCTTTTAGTTAGAAAAGTTTTAACCTTTGTATTATACAGTCTTCGTGAGGACAGTTGTGTGTGAAGTTGACAGAACAAGTTGGTTTTCTTGAGAACGTCATCATTTTCATTAAAGAGCTGAATAGACAACCTTTAGAAACCAGTTGGTCATATTTTCTGATTTGATCCACACTCAACCATTTTCTCATGATCATAGAATAATCATTTTGTGAGGTGACTTACATGCATGGTCTGCCTGTTGTTTCTTATAATTATTTTATACAAAATGTGATATATCTGACAATTAACCAACATTTATTTTTGATGCAATGTTTTACGTTTTAGAAATTCAACAATGGCCAAATCAGTTTCTGTTCTGAACTTCCTTTTATTTCACTGATTGATGTTAGTCTGTTCATTATTACTGCTGTAGAGTAGATCTAGATTTCACCAATCACACTCACCAGAGGGGCATATTTGGTCTAAACCCTGCTTGAATTCAGATTTACAAACTAATACCTTTCACTGTCGTTAATTGTACTACACAACCTGTAACCACACACACCTGCACAGCTGTATATAAGCGAGCTCAAACCTATGCTTGAAACCTGCTTTACTGCTTGATATCACATAATAAAGCTTGCTTGAATGTGAACACTGTGATTCTGAAAGTTTGGAGCTCTGTGAAGTGGACTACTCTTACTTACTTACCAATAAAAGCGCATGTATTAATGTCCCTTTGTTGGAAGTAAACAAAGAGTCAAATGGAGGCGTTTCAGGCAGGGGTCCCCCTGAGAGAAACTCCCTTAGCAGACCATTTACATGCACTAAAACCTCTATAAAACAAAGGGAAATCCCCAAAAAGCATAATAGGGCCTCTTTAAGTTTCTGGCTGTAGCTCGATATTCTTCATAAAGACATGACAGTGGAACCAATCTGCAAATCCCAGAGTCGCGTAAGTGATGTCATAACTGTTTTTTCCTCCACTAAATATAAGAGATAGCTAAGATAAGATAACTTTAACAAGATGCCTGTGTGCTTAGTAGCCTACCGGGTTGTTATCATACCAGCAATGGGTCTTGCTCGTCCTTTCGCTTCCCGTCTGATGAAAGGACCAGGAGTGGCTGGATCAAGTTCTACCTAGCTAGTAGCAAGCACGTTAGTTAGCATTACAGCCTTAGCCTTGTCATTTTTATTAGCCTTAACATGAAGTAACATTAAGTAAAGGTCCCATGTCATGCTTTTCCGGTTATTACCCATCCCACTTCAAGGTTTGTATGCATGTAAACGGTGTGCAGAGTCAAAACCCTCAAAGTACACCCTGTAGCAAGTAAAACTCTAACACAGAAAATACCTCCCCAAAACTCCTCGTTGGAGATACATCATTGTCCATTGTTTACTTCCTGGGTATCGTGACGTAGGAATGGCCAGTAGCTACGCCCAGAGCTATGGCCACACCCTCTGCCAGCCTTTCACGTAACAAAGCTTCCCAAAACCTTTCAGGATTCATGCTGGATATGTACAGCGTAGGGCACTGAAGAACGATGCTGTTCCTACTTTGTTTGGACCAGCGGGAGTTTGGGTGAACAAACTGTATGTATTCATTGTTGTTTGTGTATTTATGATGTTTAAAACAAACAAGGTATCTACCACGACTGTTTAAATGGGTAAACGTTTTTTCGGACTATTACGTTGAAATGCTCTCCGCAGACCCATGCTCA